GCAGCTGAAGAACCTGCCTCTTTCTTTTCCTGCTGCTATAAGGGAAGCTTTTCTGGGTAGGTTTCCTCTTTGTTTGAGCAAAATAAAGTGGCTTTAAAGATCGTGACAAAGGTCCCTCTGTGCAAGGAAGCACTAGGGCTCAGGCAGGTGGGTGCATCAGAAAAGCCGATCTGCTGCGTCTCTCTCGCTACCCTTGCTTACCTCGCCGCCCAGGAGATGGAGCAGATGCAGGATCACAGAGCTGAAGGAAAGGAGTTACAAAACTAGCAACATCTGTCGCTCCCCTCTGCTTCTGGCAGCAGAGGTATTGGTGTGAGTTAAAGCAAATCTGCACCCTGTTAGGATCCTTCCTTAGTTCCTTCTCTGGCACTTCGAATTTTTTGCTCTTTAACCTGACCAATGCAAAAGTTGACATGGATGGTATCAGTGTTGCTGTTCTGTTGGTTTAGCTGTGGAAAAAGTGTCTTTGGTTGAAAATTAGTAGGTAGAGGATTATCTCATATCCCAGGCTCCAAAGCAAAGCTTGAGCTCTCAAGCCTGTCAGGGTTGCGTGTTACTAGATGGTGATGGATCTTTTTTCCCTAACGAAGAATGTTTGTTTTGTTTGTTTGGTGGTGGGTTGTTTTTAAAACCCCCAAACTGTCGCAGCACAAAATGCAAATGAATAACTTGTCCCTTCACCAACCAAAAAGTCTTCAGCACTTTGTCAAATGGACTTTAGCAACATAGGTCTTGACCTATTGCGTGTGTGGGGAGAGAGCGAGCCAGTGTGTGCAGAATAAGGAAACAAAAGCAGCCGTTTTGCTTCGCTAGCATCCTTGGGTGGCTGACTCAGAGGCTTGATATGCTGGCAGTGATTCGCAGTTATATCCAATTCTGCTTAGCTGCACTTTCTTGGTTACTGAAATTTGTAGATCCTAACTCCGACTCTGCTTTGAGTTACACTTAATGTTTTCTAGAAACTAGTTTCATCTCTCATTTGGAACTGTTGCTGCTCAGGGCCTGATCTACCCTCGTAGAGTTGCCTTCAAATCACAGCTTCTCTTTTTGTTGTTGTCTTTGCATTTAGCAGGAGTGGCAATTTGCTCCTCCCAGGTCGCAGTGGGTGAAAAAACTGCATTTCCAGAGCTCTGCTTCAAGCCAACAAGGGTTTGCAGACTGTCTCGTCGTGACTTTAACTGTTGTCAGCTCAGCTGCTGTTAACAGCAGAGTAATAGTGGATGGTCGTGGAGCTCCTGAGGTTGACATTGATGTGATCCAGAACACTTCCTCCTGCAGAGGATGGAGAAAGCAGCGTCTGCTTATTGCAAGCTGCTACAAGAGCCCTAACTTCCATGTGTCATGTTTAGTTATGTTTAAAGTCCTTTAAGGCATATGGTGCAAAGAAGAGCTTGGGAACTCCCAACTGCTTTGCTGAGAGAGGTGCTGTTTCTGTTGGCTCCTCTAATGACTTCCTGATGTGCAAAACTTTGGTCTTGCTACGCTGTATGGTAGCTGCACGCTCCAGGTTTTCCTTTTTGGGGGAAAAGCACTAGCACAGAAGGTTTTAAGCCAAATTGCTAGTAACTCGTCATAATTTTTCCACCTTTGGCATTGCTGAACTTTACAAAGTTGCTGTGTCAAACGCAAATGTCTGGTGGTGGTGGGTTGGGGTTTTTGTCACGTGAACGTTTCCTTTTTGTACGCGAGTGCTCGACACTTTAGGCAATTTAGGGATCCACCTCAGATGGCAAAACCCTCCCTTGCCTTGGCCGTGGGAACTGTGCTGAGAGTGAGTCATGGCTCTGCCCTGCCTGGCCTGTGAGCTGCATCTTTGGCCTTCACTCAATGGTCTCTCCTGGATTCTGCTTGCTCTTCAGTTATCCAAGCTCTTTTCTTACTGATATTTTATATACATGACCAGAGCAAAACAATAAAACATAGTATTGACACTTTTTTTTTCCCCTTGATGATCAGCTAACTAACTTTTGCGCTTGGAGAATGTTAGTGGCTTCCAGGGATACTTCTGGAAGGTGGAGAAGGCTTTTTTTTTTTTTCCTGAGGAAATTAATTTTATGGAACTTACTCAAAAACCGAACAGTGTTAGGGATTGTATAAAGTGCAAATATTTGCAGGTCTTGTGTGCTCTGCAGCAAAGGATAGTTTCTGTTGCACAACTTCTGCCTAAAGAATGCTGACTCTTAAGTACATTTCTAAAGCATTCTATATGCCATTCTATAAAGCAATCTATGTGCTATTTTATACTGGTTTTATGAAGAGCAATTTCTCTTCCCTAACTGAAAGCTGACTGTGTAAAGTAAACTTGAACAGAGATTTCCTTTTGATGCTGTGGACTGATATATATATATATGTGTGTGTGTGTATATAAAATATGCATAATATATAAATAAAAAGAAAGAAGAAATAAATATAATATTTTATATTATAAATATATAAAAATATATTTATTTCTTCTATATAAATATATAAATACATATATTTATATATTATAAATATATATATATATAAATATTCTATTTATTTATTTCTTCTTTCTTTTTATTTATTTAATGTTTTTTTTTTTCCCTGATATTTAGTGTAATTTATAAACCAGCCCTTCTAGGGAGACACACAAGTAGAATGAGATTTGTTACTGGGGATAAAGTGCTTATAGGAGTGGTGTCCCCTCAGAGTGCAGCAGATCTCCTTGGCTGCTCCTGTGAAAAGGAATGTGTTAATCCTTGGATTATGGCTTTGGTTTAATTTTGGTAGCAGAGACCGGAGGCCGCGCTGCGAGCGCAGCCTGTGACAACTGTTGGTTTGGAGGAAGCTTTGGCCGTGCGGAGGTGGCACGGCCCTCGCTTGCACTCCAGCCCTTTGCTGCACTGCAAAAGAAATCAGCATTGCTCCAGCAGCTGCCTGCGTGAGGAATTCCCTCGCTCCTTCCTTGGGCTCGCGTCTCCGGATGCTCCTGCAGGGAGGAGCTGGGGCACTAAGCAGGAATTCTGGAGCGCGTCTGGATCTGCGGCTGTCTGGTTGCCCAGGCTGCACAGCTCGGAGTCTGTGCCAGCCACCAGAGCCGATGGCAAAATCCGGGAAAACCGGCAACCCGGTAAGGTGGAAGTCTAGAGGATCTTACAGGGAATCCCTGAGCTCAGGAAAGGATTTGTATGAAAGAAGATGTTAAGTTGATGATGTTTCAGAGAGGGGATAAGTAGAGGGATAAGAGCTCTTCATCTGGAGATGGAAAAGCTTTGAGGAAGCCAGTTGTTTAAAACACTGGCAGTATCTTAGTATTTGGAGCTCTTTACAGCTAAAAGCATGTGATTCATATCTGTTCTGCAAGTTATTTCAGCCATGAAAAGCAAGCTCTTACTGACAATTGCAATTAAGGAGTTGTAATTTCACTTTAATTTGGAGAGGAAGAATCATCTCATCTTTCTCAAAATCCAAAGCTGATAATCAACAGAATAAGAGTAGAAGAGCTGTCTATACAGTAATTTTTAATGAATGAAAAGTGTAGATTAATGTATAGATTGGTTTTGTGACCAAGAATTCAGTACTGTTTAAGCTGCAAATTACGAAGTGAAATGAAATCCATATTATTGATATCTGCTGAAATAGATGAGCTCTCAAACTGGCTTCATTATTTTCTAGCAATTATTTCAAATGGACTAAAGTATGATGTTGTAGGACCAGAAAAAAGATTATACTGTGACAAATCAGATTCAAAATATATTTTCAAGTTAATTTTACGCCACTGTATAAATAGGAAGTTACTAAAACAATAAACTTCACAGATATTGGCTGCCATGAGGCTTTTTGAAGCATCATTTTCTTGCCATTATTATCTACTGAGTTGTGATTGCGATTTGGGTACTTTCTATAAAGCTTTCTATAGAGTAACTGCATAATCAAATTCTTAGCTTTAAAGTGCAACATTTGAACATTTGACCTGCTGTCATACCAGCCAAAATGCACATTCTTCTAGGTGAAGTAGAATTGGCTAAAAGAACCTACCAGCTTTTCAGCACCGCTTAAAAGGAATCAAAACCTTCTTGTTTGAAGGTAAAACGCAGTATGTATCTTTTGCTGGGAATGTCTTATTGTATGACTTAAAGTTATGTAAGGTTTTAGTTTTCCCTGGTGTGCTGATTTGAGAGCAGGATTTTTTTCCTGTTTTGTAATTTATTCAAACTTGTTTTTAGTGCTTCAGCTAATATTTCTCAAGAGGTTCAGAACACTGCTTAAGATGTGCTTTTTAACTAATGGAATAATAAGTATTTTGATTACTGTCACATAGTCTTTTTTGGAAAGAACCATCTTTGGGAGCCAAATTTTAGAAAAAGGAATATGTAAAGAAGGAAGTTGGGATCCAATTCCTCTAATTTTATTTTACATATCTGCTTTGGATTTTCTGGATATTGAGATGGATGAGAACTTCTAACTTAGCATGGGCTGATTGTTCTTTGCCATTATTTAAATTAAGGTTTACTTTAGTTTTAATCATAGTTGACTTTAATCTTGGATGGTGTTTGTAGTTTTTAATGACTAAACATTACTTTAACCAAAGTTTACCTTGAGGTAAAATTTGAAGTTTTCTTAGTGCAAATTGGTTTTCTTCATTGTGTAAAGACCTTACCCAAATGTCGGAGAACTGTTTTTGTCTTTGCAAGCTGTGAAGCCTCACTTAAAGATGGTCTCCTTTTGTTTTTTCAGTTTGTAGAGTCTTGTATAAATGGCATCTTTGCTGGATCAAAAAACTGATTATTTGCTATCTGTGAAATTATTTCAGTTATGTTGTTGTAATATACCTGAGAACTTTAAATTTAAATAGGAAGGATAATTGCAAGTCTTGTTGTGTATTGTGCTGCTCCTCCTGCAGGTAAACCAAAGAACTTCTTATTATGGCAGATTTGTGTTTAAGCATTACACTTAGTAGCTGTAGTCAGATATTTTTATCGCTGATTAATCATAGTAGTAGTCAACAAACTTTTAAACTTCTTTTTCTCACCAGGCCTTGATTTATTTTGGATTAGCACCCCAATGGCATGTGAACTAGAAGATAATCTGAAGTAAAAGGTCTGTTATTTCGAAGCGACAGCCTTTACCAAAATGGTAGGAAAACTGAAGCAGAACTTGCTATTGGCATGTCTAGTGATCAGCTCCGTGACGGTGTTCTACCTGGGCCAGCACGCCATGGAGTGTCACCACCGCATAGAGGAACGGAGCCAGCCTCTGCGAGCGGACAGCGTGAGAAGCACAGTCAGAACTGGGTCTAGTGCAAGTGCAAATAAAACTTTTGCTTACAACAAAGACATGCCTTTAATATTTATTGGAGGAGTACCTCGCAGTGGCACTACTTTAATGCGTGCCATGCTCGACGCGCATCCGGATATTCGATGCGGAGAGGAGACAAGGGTGATCCCGCGAATTCTGGCTGTTAAGCAGATGTGGGCTAGATCAAGCAAAGAGAAAATCCGACTGGATGAAGCTGGGGTCACGGATGAGGTTCTGGACTCGGCCATGCAAGCATTTTTATTGGAAATCATTGTGAAACATGGGGAACCTGCACCATATTTGTGTAACAAAGATCCTTTTGCTCTAAAATCCTTAACTTACCTTGCCAGAATTTTCCCCAATGCCAAATTTCTTCTAATGGTGCGGGATGGTCGTGCGTCCGTACATTCCATGATATCCAGGAAGGTCACCATAGCTGGGTTTGACCTTAACAGCTACAGGGACTGCTTGACCAAGTGGAATCGTGCGATAGAAACGATGTATAACCAGTGTATGGAGGTTGGTTTTGAAAGGTGTATGCTGGTACATTATGAACAGCTTGTGCTGCATCCTGAGAGATGGATGAGGACTCTCTTAAAGTTTCTCCGCATCCCATGGAACCAAGCAGTGCTGCACCATGAAGAAATGATTGGAAAAGCAGGGGGTGTTTCTCTTTCAAAGTGAGTATGAGCCTTCCTCTCTTATCTTGTGTTGTTCTAAAAGGTAATATAGGAAACTTTGCACCTGGGACAGTAGTTGGAACTTTGTTTCAGTTTTAAGCACCTAAATATGCTGATTTCTGATGAAGACTATACAAAAAATAAGAATGCAAATAGTTAGCAATAAACCAGTCTCAGGTTGTTCCCTCTAAATATTTGTCCCAGTAATAAATATTTAGGTAATGTATTAAATAGTTTCTAATTAATGGTCACTCTAGTTTGGTTTGGACTTCTAATATCAACTTTTCTTCAGGTGCAGCTTTGCTTTTGCCAGTGCCCCAAAATCAAGCTGTCTTATCTGATACGGCATTATTTGTTTTAGCAAGATCTCTTGTCTGATTTGGAGAACTTAATGATTCTCGTTAGTGCAAGAATAGCCCTCAAGTTATATTTGCCAAGAGTGTAATCTTCCAGGAAACTTGAGGAGTGTGTTCCAGCAAAATAGAAAGCAGAATTGGCAAGCTTTTCTGTTGGTAATAGCCTCTTTAAAAGGATAAGCATTTCAAATAAAATAAACGTTGTTGTAGGCAAATCTTTTCGTATTGTAATGCTGTCTGTGCACCTGACCAACCTACTTTTCAGAACCCGAAATTTAGCTCTACTTACAAAACTTGGGTATTGTGAAAGAGGAATTAAAAAAAACTAGTTTATTCTCTGATTAAACCACTGGCTGTTTTGGTTTGTTTGCAACTATTTACAGCTGGATTTCTGAGATAAGAGAGTTCACTTGTTTTCACAGTGGGGGAATAGGTGAATGTTTGAATGGCTCCTCTTCCTTATTTACTGTGACAAATGCATCTGCCAGACTGTTTAAGTTTCTAAAATAATTATTTAAAAGCTGTGTCCTAACAGCAAGGCATGCCCAGTTAAGTTTGTTTCTATGTTCTGAATGTCCTTTGGTGACCAAGTGCTTTGGAAGAACAGAGGCAACTTGCCCAGCAATGTGGGCTGGCTAGAGGCGTTTCCAGCTGTTGAATACAGAATGGATTTTCTTCTTAAACTACAGTTTAGAGAAATTAAAATTGAAGATGCTGTTTACTTGACTTCTAGTAACCCTTCTGGTTACATGAAGTTCTTCAATGAATTAGTGGTTGTTAAATTCTATTAAGTGTCCTGTAAAAATAACTATGTAGAATGCAGTTTCTAGTAAAATATTACTACCTTACAGCTTCCAAATTAGCAATAACCTCTAGATAAGAAAACTCAGTAGCCATAGAGAACTTGCACAGTTTCTAATAGTATTTCTTGCCAGAACTGGTGGAATGGGATGCGAGGAGTTGAGAGTACTTCATGTCTCAAAATATTAAGACAATGTAGTGTTACTTCATCATCATTCTTGAATCAAAATTCCAAATATAAGACTGAAACAAGTATGAAAATGTTCCTGTTTTGGGGCCTCCAGTCTATCCATGGATTTTTTTTATTATTATTTACTCTTCATGGTTAGGTGATGCACAAAACTGAAATTGTTTTAGATGGTTTCAGCAGTAGTGGGAAAAGTATGCACAAAACTGAAATTGTTTTAGATGATTTCAGCAGTAGTGGGAAGTTTATTAATGTATTGTCTGTAGTGTTTTTATCTAATCAAATACGCTTGAAATATGTGGCCAATTTTGTTTTTACTGTTGCAAGAGACCTTTATAATTTGATAATGATTTCAGTGACTCAGCCTTTAAAGATCTGTTGGGGAGGGAAAAAGAACAAGACATCGGAAATATTCTATTTAGTGTAGTCATATGATGCTAATGTTGATTGTGCAGGGGAAGCTTGAGATTCCCCAGTCTGATTTCCTTGTGCCAGTTACAACCAGTCCATTTCTGGGTCTTGTCCTTATTGCAGGAAACCTTGCGTACACAGAGCCCGGAAAAATTATTATTTGAAGGGATACTCGATAGTTGGTTTACCCTGAGCCTTACAGGGCCTTGCTGCCCACACCTGTGCAAACTCTTGCAACTGAACAAAACCCACCATGGGGTAGATTTAGTTCTTTTTGTCAGGTTGCCCTAGGTTTGTTCTCAGCTGCAGCTAAATTCAGTCTTCTCAGTTGTTAAGACTCAGGATCAGGTTTTAACCGACCAAAAAAGATGTCAACATGCAGACCCAGTGCCTGTTGCATGCTAAGGAGATCAGGGTCTGGATGAAACTAGTTCTGCAGTTGTCTGCAAAGTATTAGTAGGGTAATAAACTTCTGAAGTCAAATAGCAAATGAATTACTCGTGTAATCTGCAAAGTCTGCAATATGGTGCAAGAATTTAGGAGAATGAGCAGAGAACCCTGCCTCAGTCATCTTCCAACTCGCTTCTAAGACTTGGGGATTTGCTCAGGTCGGGTCCAACATGAGATGCCTGGAGGCATTTTAACTGTAGGAGAGTTCTGGAACACAAATTTGGCAAGTTTGTTGCCTTGAAATATTTAAACATTTTGAGGAAGGAACCCCAGTATCCCTAAAAGACTTTAGACAATTTGTCAATGTTATTCACAGGTAATAGAAAGTGAATGGTTGAAAGCATTTTTAAACTAGTCTAAAATCAAGATAATCTGTCTAGTGAAAGCTGTGTAGAATGGCATGCAGCTCTAGGTCAATGTAAGAACCTTTATTTTCAGTTGTATATGGAGTTAACATGCAGGTTACTTGGAGAAAAAACAGTTGCTAAACAGCTTCCAGAATTCCTCAGGATGCTACTTGACTTCATTTTCCGTCTTATTCTAAACTCAAACTCTTACGCCACAGTCTCTAAATAGCAGTATTAGACACTAGACAGTTTGCATTTAGTATCCCGACTTGCTGTTCCACTGGCTGCTTGATGTGAGGAAGCCGTTGGCTGCCTTTATTCTCTTCTTCAGCATTTTATTTATTTATTTTGTTTTTCCTCCTCTGCTGCTGAGACAGCCCCACGCTCATAGTTCTACTTTACTTTATAACCCCCTCCCCTTTTTTTTTTCTTTATCCAGCTTGAATAACACTGCAAGAGTTTTGAGGATGTTCACCACAAAACTCGTAGTTAACGCGAAACCTTCTGTGGTTTGAAGTAATTGCCAGCGTGGCTGTTCTAGGAATGTATTATGGCTGGACGACATGCTATAACTAGTATTGTTAATATAGCTCTGGCATTTGCCTCCTAACTGAAAACAGCTGTGGGGACCACAAATGCAAAGAAATATCAACCCTTTTATAGCAATTTTTATTAGGCTTATTATGAAAATAGCTGTCTAGGCAAAATCACTTCAGAATATACTATTTTTAATACATACCTTTCTTTCATTTTATCCTGGTACAGATGTAAAAGCGTTTGGGGTTAGTCCTGTGTTCCTTGCTACCAGCTGCTTTTAAAGCTGGAATTGGTACAGCAGTTTCAGAGGAACCTGAAAGCAGGTCCAGGCAGCATTTGTCCATACATCTAGACAGCCAAATTTATTAGAACTTTGTTTTCTTGCCATTTTTTGTCTCCTTTTTTTTTTGCTATCCTCTCGCTCTCAACCGCATGCCCTCAGATACTCCTCGTGCTTAAGAATCTTACCTAGACCTTATGCTTTAATTTTTTCTGCCTTCCAATTTTAAGTGAAAGGACAGTAAAGGATTTAAAAGGAAGACTAAATGTTCTATATTATATATTTAAATCAGTGCCTAGGAGCAGCTAAATGTAGTTCCTTGTTAATCTTCTGCTAGGTATTAATTTACCAGGAAATGTTTTATGCTGAGCTTACTGTTAGCAAGGACTAAAACGACAGTGAGGCAGGACGTGTGTTTCTTTAAAACATTCAGGGGTTTTACTTCAGCACAAGGTATTTGCATTCACACTATTTCAGTACAAGAAGAGGGGAACATAAGGTCTTAGGGTTAGCTAAGAAGCAAGTATTGATTGGAGTGCAAAATGTATTCTCTCTTTTTGCCTCCACAGAGTTGAAAGATCTACTGACCAAGTCATCAAGCCAGTCAACGTGGAAGCGCTGTCCAAGTGGGTCGGGAAGATCCCCGCTGACGTTCTGCAGGATATGCCAGTGATTGCACCCATGTTAGCAAAGCTGGGCTACGATCCGTATGCCAATCCACCCAATTATGGGAAGCCAGATCAAAAAGTTCTGGAAAACACAAGGAGGGTAAGGGATTTTTGTGTGTCTAAATTTAATTGTTGACCAACTGGAAGTGAGCTGTAGAGCTGAAGATTTTAGGTCTATTTCTAATACTTTTTAATACTTAGCAATACCGTTCATCTGCCACTGCAAGGTCTAGTAGGACCTTGAGCACTGGACGTCCAGCTCCTGCCTTTTGCTCTTGTTGCTTCATCTCCCTTCCCCCTGACTCCAGGCCTGAGCTGTTCCCTTTGGTGTTGAACTGAACCTCTTAAGAATTGTCCACTGACTGGGGGGCCTGGCCAGGAAAAACCCCAGCTGACCGGTCAGCAAACTCCATTCATGGGTTCAGCTTTTTAACCAAGTGATTGGCAGAAACTCTGTCACAAAATTATACTTAAATACTTGGGAGAATTTGAGAAGTAAGCAGTGGAAAATGGTTCAAGATGATCAAAATGTCAGACTTCCCGGTTCTTTGCTGTCCTCTTTAGTTTAAAAAAACAAATAAAAAGGAAAGTCTGGTGCTGATTAACCTAAACATGAGGATTTTAGTCTGTCTAAATTGAATGTTGTTGGAATTTGAATAGTTAGGCTATACAACTGTTTATCCCTGGAGGTATCCATTGAAAAGCTTAGTACAATTGTTTGCAATAAGAATAATTAACTTCTCTTTTGAGAATGTACACTTATTAAAAGAAGGTGACTTTTTACTGACACAGCAAGTCATCACTGGAAAAAGTGAACAGAGCAATTTGAAAGGTCTGTCTTTCACTACCCTTTTGACTGTAAATAACTGCTTGGTATCTGCTAATTGATAGATACAGAACTGCTAATTGGTAGATACAGAAAGATTTATTAAATTTTCTAAACATTTTGCATTAATTCTTAAGAGCCCTTTCTGAGAAACTCGCCCTAAGCAGCTCATTAGTATATTGAAGGATGGCAGGTTAACTTTTCCATGCTGAGCTGATGGCTATTTAAAAAGATAACTCCCTTTTCTAGTAGGGATAGTGGTGAGCATTTTATAGGTTTTCTAATACTCTTAAGTCTTTCAAGCTGACTTTTCTGTACAATTCAACGTGATTTTAAAAAATAAATCAACATTGAACAATTTAATAATCATGGAGAATATTAGTATTTTATACTAATACTTTACTTAAAATTGTCTTGAGGCTTGGACTGTGTTTGTGACTGTATTTATTGTGTCACCAGTATATATTTTTCTAAAGAACAAGAGGAGGCCAGGAAAAATAACTTCTGTAGATCCTGCTTGTATGGATAAGACCAATGAGATGTCCTGAATTAACCTTAAAATCCACAAAGTGAGAGAAATAAGGGTAGCGTAATTCCTGAACTTGTAATATTCCTTTTGAAAATGCTGAGACACGAAGCTTTCAAAATGACACGTACCCCAAGGAGCCATTTCAAAGGAGGGCTCAAGTCAGCATTCCGGTTTGTGCTCAGATGGTCTCAATTCTTGCCCAGTCACTTTGCTTTGTTTCTTCCTCGCTGGGACTCGGCAAATCCCTGCTCAGCACCTCCTGGCCCCCTCTCTTTCTCTTTATGGACTGTTAAAGCATTGATGTTCTGACTTCCCGGGGGTTCAGGATTTGAAGGCTTCCCAGCTCCCAGACCAGTTTTCTTCATGGGTTGCTTAATTCTCAGAGCAACAGTCTCTTCAGCCTCTCTAGGAGTACCAGACTTTGTGGCTATCGTGTATCTTGCATAGTAAACTGCCAAAGAGCTGGCCACTGAGCTTGGCCTTAAACCAAGGAAGCTTTGCAATAAGTCAAATTCTGCTTGATGATCAGTTGGAACTGATAAAAAATGCTGAAATTTGAAAAAAATGCTTCACTTTGCTTCCTATCCCCTCAGACTTTTCCCTCACGGAGCTCTGATTCATTGGCAGCCTTGCCCATCATGGATAGCGTGTGCTCCTCTGTGCATTTCTCCTTTCTCATAAACATATTTCTTGCTACTGTGGCTTAGAGGACATTTAAGTCCTTGATCTTAGATTTCCAGCCTTTGGGAACTTTGACCTGGACAGAATTTTTTAAATACATTTATGTTATTGCACACTCTTAACTGGTGGATTTATGAACTTTCTGCACTGCTTTTGTTTTTGCTTTCTCTTATTTATTCACCTAGGATTCTCTCTGTTTTGTACAGATTTTTGTCCTGGTTATATTGTAGGAGTCAACCCAGATTGAAATAAATCTTTCTAAAGTTATTCAGCGCATAATTCAGCATGTTCACAAATCTTGCACGTAGCTGTTTATTGCTTCACTTCATGCATTGGAATTTGTTTTGTTATTTGTATTTGTGGTCTCTGCAAACTTTAAACCCTCAAGTTTTAGTCATTGCAAACAGATTAAGTTTAGACTTCTAAACTGCACTGTTTTGTGTTAATATTGTAACCCCTTAGAGTGACTGACTAACTCAAAATAATTATTTGATGTTTGCTGCAGGAGTCGTAGTTCTGGTGTGTGTTTAAGACAACAGGAACTGTTGGATGGCAGAAGCTGGACCAGTCTGGCAAGCAGAGCAGTGGTGGGGGCAGCAGGACTGTGTTTTTGGGGATGGGTGGGGTTGGTTAGTTCTTGGGGTGATGAGGAGCGTTACGTAACAAGGAGTGTTGTGTAATGCTGGTGGAAATTGATTGTGGAAGTCATGACAACAGGGCAGAAGCTCCACTGAAATTTCTGGCCAAGGAGATTCTGGCTCCACTTAAAGATGGAACAACGATATGATCTAGTTCATATCTATCAGATGCATTTTAGAAAACAAAATTTATTTCTCTCGTGATCACAGAACTCTTGCTTTGTATGATTGATAGTACTTTAAATGGTACATGCAAAATCACATAGGTACATACAAAATAAGAATAGATGAAGTGCAGATTTGAAAAATGGTCAGGGTGCAAACAAGCTCATAGCTAGAAAGCCTCTTTTGACTGCAGGAAGATTGATACTTCTACAAAAGTCTGAGACTAGAAGTTTTCATATTCCCCCGTGTTCAAAACAGATTCCAAACTGTTTGAAACCGGGAGATGGCTGTTCTAGTATGCTGTGCTTAAACACTTCTGGTATCACAGCATTTGTACTGATTATATGGAGCAAAATCTGTTGCTATTTAGAAAGCAACAAATTAGACCAACATTCAGCAGTAAAAATCCTGGTTGACGACTTGAAAGCTGCTGCTGTTAGTTTGCCTCTTGCATTAGGGACGAAGGGTGCCTGAAACATGTCAGGGCTAGACCTGGAGGAGAAATGGAAACAAACAGCTAACATGAGTGCAAAACACTGGCTTCCTTTCTCCCCACTACTGAATTGCATATGTACTGCTTTATATATGTCTTTTGCTTCAGTGTTGGCAGCAAAATGATGATTCACATCATCTAAGGTGTGATCCTTGAAGAAGGATTTCTACAGAAGTGTAGGTAATGCAAGGAACATGAAGATCCCTGCAGTATTTGGATTTTCACTGTAATGTTACCCCTCTGGCACCAAAACAGGTTGCTTTTTCATGCTTCTGTAAGAGAGCACAGAGATAAGATGCGACTGGTGTTTGCTGTTTTTGTCATGTTAGTTCTGGCTTCATTTTTTGAAGTAAAAGAGCCTGAAACTTACTTCATCTCTCCTTGCATTGGCCTCCCAGTGCTATGTGGCATTGTGGATTGAGTCATCGCTAATTTTTTCCCCTAAAGCCATAGCAAATTCTACATTCTGAACATAAAGGAACGGAACTTCCTGTAACCAAAAATGAATCATCTTCTGCAAATGAAGCAGAAACGCAAATAATTAAACTCTAAAATGGTAGCCCAGTGTCTTTATGACAAAATACAGAAAAAAAACAACTTTAAATTTGAAAAGTGTCTGATATGCCTTCATGTCGTGTAAAAGTGTACGTAAGCAGTTTAGTAGAATGTACCAAAAGCTGGAGACTATTCATAACTGTAAAACTCTGTCTTATGCCCAGTAGAAACTGGCTTATTCTTATATTATGATTGGCCTTGCAGCTTCCTTTCACATCTGTAACGTATTGCATCAGATTTTCTTTGGCACACGCTTCCCACTGAGTGGATTTGTAAGCTAGGAATACATATTCCAGGCAGTTCTTCTGGATTCTTCATGAAGTCGCAATCCTTGCCCTGCAGAGAGCAAGAGGCAGAAGTGCACAGAAGAGCACACAAAAAGCCTGTGTTTTCATCATGCCTATTTAAATGTGTGTGGGTTCCCCTCATCACTTCTGAAAGCTGCATTTACCTCTGCCTTAGATTGTTGATGATATTTTCTCCAGTAACAGCTAGAGGGGGAAAAAACAGAGCTCTGTTACCTGCTCTGTTTCATACCGTGTATCAGATACCGAGGAAGTGTCTCCTGCTGATAAGGGATGAGACTTTCATGATAATCCTGGTTTCAGGGCTTGGTGTGTGTTTGAGGCTTCAAATGGAGAAATGATCCGAGCTAGAGAGTGTGAAACATCCCTATACTATTGCATGGGAATAATTGTGTTGTCAAAGACGTGTAATTGTGGGGCTCTGCTGTAATGATAGACTGCTCAAATAGCCTAAAAAAAGGCTGCCCTGGTTAAGTGTAGCAAGTTAAGCATAAAGGCATCTGGCTGCGGGGGTGCTTTCCTGGCAATTTAAAGTAATTAGTAGAAAAGATTTTTAAGTCTCTCTTGTGACCACCAAGAAGATACTTTGTCAGTGTTATTTTCTCACATATATCTTTTGCTTTCATGTCAGCTCTGCCTGCATATGATCAGTAATGGAATAATGAGTTCTTAACAAACAATATGCAAAACTATGTATAGCTGCAAGATGTATTTTGGCATGTTCAGTGGCCTGGGGGCGGGGAGGGAGGAAGCTTCCTGTAGTGTTCCTACAGGATAAACGTTTTTATCTCGGATGTCTCCGTTCCTGGTGGTTCCAGAAAGGAAATAAAGAGCTGTCTAAGCCTTGCAAAGCCAGAAAGAACAAGCATAGGACACCTCCATGTAACCTGCCATGAAGGGCTATCTCCAGGAAGGAGCTTGTTTGCTTATTTGCCAGTATTTCTTTTTTGGGGGGTGGACAATTAAACATTGGCAGCTTTGAACTCTGTATTTTTGTTTTGAAAATCCACTGAGCACAAGTACATTTATTTGCAGGCCAACTACTAAACAGAAAGACCCCTTATTTCTGTGTACTAGATCTGACCAGATATAACATAACTTTTTTTTTAATCAACCTTGAAAGTGAGTGAAAATGAATGCTTTAATCTTCTCTAAAGATGAATTAAGTGTAGTATCTGTAATAAGAACAAACACTTAAACTTTCCTTGTGTATTTTAAGGGTTTTGTCAGATAACTGGATGTATTTTTTTATTATTATTCCTTTTGGAGAAAACATACATTACTTGAATAACTTTTTAACAATTTGAATAGCTCCAACACTGAATAATGAAATGAAATAAATTACTAAAGCTTTTTTCCCCCCCCTTTGGAAATCCATTTGGGCTTGTGAAATAGTTCTCCTAGGGAGTGTGAGCGCCATTTCTGCCCAGCTTCCCTGAATTCCTGCTTAGACTGGAAATCATTCCAGCGTCCTCCATCTGCTTCTCTGCTGCCACTCTCCAAATACCACGTTTTAGACTTAAAAAATGGGTCAGAGAAAAATTTTGAGTCTGAAACCTCCTAATGTCTTTGGCTGCGGATGGCGGCATTGTTTTCTCGAGTTTCTGGATTGTAGCAGTTCCCTGGGCTTTGAGTCAAGAGAGACCACGTACGGTTTCTGGAACTCCTCTGAACCGGTTTGTTTGCAGCCTCGGTCTCCACAAATCCATTCTTCTAGATAATGTGAGTTTTCAACCAGGATTATGCACAGTTGCTCTTTATACCTAATCTAAATGCAGCCTCTCTGGCTGGGCGTTGATTATATTGTACCTTTGTAAACTGCAGCATGGCTTAATTTAAAATATTTGTGTGTAAGAGGCACATAAGCTTATTTTGTTACGTTAATTCTGTAACTTCAGAATTTAGCCAGAAAGGTGCAGAAAGAATAAACAACTCAAATAGATTACTAAATTACTAGAGCTCTTACTGAGCTGTCTAAACCCAGTTAATTTAAGCTCAGAAGTCAGTTATTAAACAGGGTAAAACCTAACTTTTAAATCACACAGGTTTAAAAATTAAGTAGTTGAATGAGAGCTGCGTGCGACATCATCAGATGTAGAGAAGGAGACAGGCTGTGATGTGAACTGTTGAATTGTGGCTGTATAATGAACATTTGCTTTTCATCCCTGTGCAAAGCAAAACTACTACTGTGCAATTTTTCTTCTCTGAAGTGGTTGGTTCCTCTCCCCCCCAGAAAAAAGAAAAAAGTTTCAGTATTTTCCAGATGATGATTTAAAATACCACAAGTAGCTGTGGCTTAGAAGATACCTTCTAGCTGGAACGGCAAGATTTGTTCATGATGCAAATAACCAGGTGCTTATAGAAGATCAACAGTTGCCCATACTACTTTCTTTGAAGGAAAATAAGTTATTGCAGGTCATGTGTGCATGTTGGGACTATTTCCTCAGCCACATAAAGTCTTCTGAAATACATGTCCCTTCCAGTATCAGTACGAAGTAAAAGATGCTGTGGGTTTTTTCCCCTCCCGTGACTCTTGCTTAGGTGGTTCTGTAGCATTCGTATGGAGCAGTGCTGTGGGTAAGTAACTCTCCTTCCTGCTCTCTAGAAACACAGCCTGCATTTTAATGCTTTGGCTAAAAGCTAAAAATATGAAATATTCTCCTTCACTTATAAATATTTATAGTACATCTAGGATCAAATATGCCATACGCTGAATTTTTGACCAGTGTGGCTTTCATTAAGGTTACCATGGGACTGGCAGTACCCCCTTACTGAATGTAAATGAGAGCTGTGCCTATCACTTTGAATCAGTCTTTCTCTTTTAACGAATAACATGGAATATCAAAACCACAATAGTTCTGCAATGTGTGTGTAATAGTTCCTGCTCTCGTGTTGTGTCTCGGCAAAGCCCTGTTGTTTGGATATGTTTCACGTGGTGATAATAAGTAAGGAGGGCTGCCAGCGTCGGCTCAGCGTGAGTCATGCGGCCTGGTGCCGCAGGCCTGGTTCGGGGTGAGGGGCTCGCAGGCAGGAAACACTGAGCTGACTCAGCTGCACTATATGGACAAAAAAAGTGCTTTATATTCCAATGTCTTATTTATAGGAAAGCAGAGCAAATGTATGTTGTTAATAAGTATCCCTTAACTTCCTGAATCTTCTTTCTTTGACATAATTTGCAAACCAGAGGCTGTAACTTTGAGGCATTAGGGCAGAACCATTTCCATTTTATGTCTTCATTGGGTATTTTTCACCGCATTCACTGTTTGTGTTCTTTGATGCTATATGGTAACAACTATGCAAGAGCACACAGAACCTATGAGATCAGGGTGATTGGTGTTCCTTTCAGTGGAAAGGGATGTAAAACTCATTCTAGTCTCCTTTGCCAAAAAAAAAAGTCAATAATGCTGTAATATATATATATATTGTTACTAGAATGCATTCCAGTTTCATGTCAGAAGCAAGCAGCTTTCAAGAAGTAGCCTCCAGAGAGAAGACACTCCATTGCCAGCTGATTTCCTAATTGGTCAGAGTGGAAACACTTGTTTGGTGTGGCTGCTTGCATGTCTCAGAATATTTATTGCTTGTTTTTTCTCCAAACGGGGCTTGTTTTGACAGTAATGCTATAGTCTAACAGATTGGAAGGCCCAGTAATGACAACCTTTCCTGGTGCAAGGTTGGTCAGGAGATTCAGCTGCGGTGGAAATTCAGATCATTAGAGTTGCTGGCTGTAACTTTAGACCTGGTGGAAAAGGATTGTAGCTGTTTTGCCAAAAAGGGAAGGATTAAGGTTTTTTTCTTTTACTATCAAAGTCTGTAGGAATATGGAAATAGCATGCTGGAACTCTTCTGTACTAATATATGCAGTTATTAATCCGTGTGCCTGCTGGTGTAGCGAACTAGTATCCCATTGTGGGTTTCTGTATATAGAAAGCAAATTAATCACTGAGGGTTATAAAAATTCATACAGAATTCTCAACCGATTTTGAACCTAAGTTACTAGCTTTTCCCAGACTTTTTGTAGTTCTGTAACTGCATAAACTGTTATCGAAGCTAACAAAACTTTCCTTTGACAATATAGGAAGGTAGGAACAATTGTCGAAGTATGATACTTCTGTTTGCATAAATGATACATTTTGTATATGGCAAATAATAGGAAGCATCAGAAAACATTTTATTGTGTGACATACAGTGAGTCTGTAAATGTTAAGACGTAAATGTTTGAGAACTGCAAGTTGTTGAATGGCTGGAATATTAATTCTGAAACAGTTAATGAGATTGGGACAGCTTTTTCAGTAAGCTTCAAATGAAGACTCTCTTAATTAAAAACTATAATAGAGCCCTGAGAGAAGTTATTGAAGTTGTTAAATCTGTTGCTTCATATTTTACATATAACTTCAAAAAGTATGTATTACTATAACTCAGTCCAGTGTATTTAATCATGCTGTAAAACATCTTTTAAAAAAAGTGGAGTCAGTGAATTATATAGGACTTAATTCATGAATGATTCATAACTCAAGGAAACTTGAAATGTAATACAAGTTATATAGTTTATTTTTTTTGTGACCATGTTTGCATTAAAATGCTATTAAATACATTTCCCAAACATTGCCATCTGTCTTGAGTAAAGAGCAAGCCTGGGAATGAGTATAAAGCTGTAGAAATACTTCAGACTACCAGACCCTATTATTAAAACTTTGCTTTTACAAATGGGTTGTGCTCAATTTCGAAAGCTCCGAGGTAGATCTGATTTAGCATTACTGGACTCTAATCACCCAGACTAATCCATTTTTTGCTGGATAGGCTATTTAGCTTTTCAAACACTAATGAATGCTTGTTTTGAATAGTAAATTCTTTTTCTTGGTTGTTTGCTTTCCAGGTCTACAAAGGCGAATTTCAACTTCCTGACTTTCTTAAAGAAGTGCCACAGGTACAGTATTGGAAGCGTTTCCTTTTCATAGATGTAGCAACAATTTAATGTCAAACTAGTCTTTTACAATCAAGTTTCCAAGTGGTTTATAGAGGAAAAAGTGGCCAGCGGTTTGCTGTGAAATTGAATCTCCACCACTGTTCTTACGCTCAAGCCTCCTTTGGGTTTATGTGCAACTCTAGAGGCATCTTGCCCTGAACATTGAACTCGAACTCATTGCAGGTTATGTCAAACTATGCTCTGAATCTTGAGAAAAGACTTTGTGTTTTGCCGTGTAGACCAAATGCAAAATGTTGTTTGCAGAGAAGCTTTGTCTGTCTCTCTTTGCCTTGTACCGAAATGCTGAAAGCCAATATGCTAGAGATGGCATAAATGTGCAGACTCTGGTCGCTGATAACAAGAGCCTTTTGGAAAGAAATGCTGCAGTATGTGAGAAAATAAACAAAGCAGCTCAGCCACGGGTAGTGATCATGTGTTGATCTAATATAAGGGTGAGCTATGAAACTCCCAATTATAATGAGAATCTGTAACTTGTTTCCCTTTGAATGCTATAATATAAGGGTGAGCTATGAAACTCCCGATTATAATGAGAATCTGTTTCTCAGATTCTTGTTTCCCTTTGAATGCTGTTAAGTTTCACTGGCTACCTGAGGATCCTAACCTTGCACTGGGGTAGAAAGAGCTAAATTCAGGCTTGGAACTGCTAAATTGTAGCATTTGTTGGCCCCTGAGCTCTGTGAATTATAGGAGCTGTGCTTCAAGCCCTTGGCCCTCTTCTCATGTAGACACTGTGGAAAGGGTTTGGGCCATAACCACTTACTAATTCATGGATGTAGTAGTTCACTCTGGATTATGAGATCCTAAACTGCATGAGCAGCTCTTTGTGCCTCTCAAGGACATAATACAGGAGCTGGGAGGAACTTCTTCCATGGAACTTCCTCAAGGGGCCCTTTTGTGTGTGGTATATTCTTTTTTTTTTTCTTTTTTTTTTCCTTAATCCCCTCAGTGAAATTAATTCCCCATGTTGGCTTTGCAGATTTAAGCTTAAGGCGAATGTATAGTCTAGCTGTAAAATATCATCTTGAGGAATTTACTTTATTGGTTTAAAATGTTTCAGACGAGTAAGTGGAACAATTAGCAATTGCCCTTGTATTTTCTCCGGGAAGAGTTACTCAACTAGGCCCACAGAAATACCCATTTTGGAGGCTGTATGACTGCTAACCATGTAGATGTCTGAAGTGCCTTCTGCATTATGCTTTGATGGAAGAGGCAGGGAATGGCTCATCACTGTTACTGTGTCCGGATGTGTTCAAGCAGAGCTAAGTTAAAATGTATAGATTTTTTTTTTTCCAGTTTGTCCTATGTAGGGGACATGACAGACTTGGGAGGAAAAACATTTTGGGGCCCCTCTGCCTCCTGGATTTTGTCTGTCTGTCCAACTAAAAGAGCAAGGAGCAGCCTCCTCCCCATTAGCCTTAATGGAAGCTATGGGTGGCCAAACTTTTAGTTAGCCGCGTTAGATTTTGTTGCTGTTGTTGCTGTGTTTTTATATTTTAGGAAAAACATCAACTGTAGAACTCGCCTCTGCCACCTACAAAGCAGTAGAAAGCCGAGGGCAGCCACTACCATTCTTTGTTCTTTTTTATTATTATTATTTTTTCCAGTTTAGTAGCTCAATCTTTTGGGTGGAGGGGCCAGGCCTCGTTTTCATGTGTTGTGGGGGCCTTTTTGCAGGGCAATGCCCTTCAAGGGAGTCTACTTCAGTGCAGTAGTTTGAAAATGAAATAATGGGCAAGAGAATACATTGATGTGGTAACTTATAACATAACTGTGGCTAAACATACCAGTACTTTAAGCAGAAGAGGAGATAATTTGCTTCCATCCACGTTTTTGAAAAAACTTGGCCACTTCAGAGCCATTTTAGAGTAATTTATGGTATTTGTATTACCTACATTTTTACTTTATCTGCCATCATTAATCCTACTTGCGCAAGACAGAAGTTTATTTTGAATATAAATGTAAGTATAAAGACCTAAAGCACTTGCAGTGTCTTCCCTTAAAAAGGCAAGGGAAAAAAAAGGGAAAAAACAACAGGCACAGTATTCTTAATCTTGGATCTCCAGTGTTAAGGGAAGACTATTTGAGTATCACTTCTGTTAGAGGTAGAGATTCAAGAATACACAGCAGTATCTACCATGTGCAAACAAGTGTTTTTGACTTACTCCAGCTGTTCTAATGAAAAGCAGTTATTAAAAAGGAAAACCGGTTTCTTGTGTTCCAGCCAAAGAAGACAGTAGAAAGGAAGTCTCGTGGCAAGATAAAATGAACATGGATCAGTAAAGTAGACTAGCTGCAGTGTGTGTCTCCTGTTCTCAGAGCAGAGCTTTTTGCTGTGGACACCAAACCTTTTCTGATAAATCTGTGTCACCTCTACTGTGGCCTTTGCTGTTTTACTGGCTGTTTCGCCTGCTCTCACCCTTCCACCAGTTAGTGCTCATGCTTTGCTGCAAGTTGTGCTCAGCTGATAGAAAATCATTAAGAATCTGACACCACGCAGCTACATGTGCTGTTGCTCACAGTATTGTTCACTCTCGAGTGCTGGCCAAAATGCCTCTGCAGCTTGAAGGCAAGAAAACTATTTAAATGTGTGCTGCTTTAAAGTTATTGTCAGCAAATTCGTTTGAGAAAGTGCGCTATAGTTATTTTATAATGCTTTCAAATGCAGTTATTGTGTTTTTTTTTTTCAAGCTCATTTACAACATAACAGATACACTTGCAGCCACGTAGGTTGCGAATTTAGGTTGTGTTGGAACACAGAGTTAAATATTGCTGATGAGGACTGGTGAAACATGCAGGGAGATAAACTATCTTGAAGAACTAGCTCTTTGTGAATAGTGTTCTAGTAACAGAAATGATCCTTGATCTGCATGAAATTGCTGTTAGCTGAATTATAATGTTTGCATTTTGTGATGACCTTGGAATAATGTCAAAGGAATTTGGTCCACTGCTTCTTGCAATCCATGTGATCGGTAGGTTTCAAAATGAGACTCTTCTAAATGTCAGAGGAGGAGGATTTATACCACATTTATACTCTAATTGTATTAAGATGACTCTGAGCAGGTTTATTTAAGTGAGATCTGAAAAACGAAAACAAACTTTGTGAAACAGTAACTGAATATTTCTGGCACCGTAAATACTGAAGCTGGAATTGAAATTACTTCTGTTAATCTGTAAAGTGAAAGCAGAATAGCTTAAAATTAACAACACAACCAAACAACTGAATGGCTTTGAATGCAAATATTGGTGCTGGTAATACCATCTTTTCCTTTAATGTAAAATAGCTAATTTCAATTTAATTATTTGTTTAACAGACTGAACCTATGGATTAGAAGATACAGTGGGATATCTCTTGCACAGAAGGTAATAAAGAATGTCCAGTTCTGCTTAATTACTCTTAGATAATAGTTACTTTTCATTTGAAAGCAGTATATAACACTATTTCACTGCTTGGCCAGGCTTTAGCAGAGTTTATTGGTGATTCTTTTTATTTTACTTTTTTAATATCTGTGGTTTTTTTTTTTTGGTGTTATAGCATAGTTGTACAGCAAGTTCAGGTCCCTATTTTAACAAGATACTAAAAAGCATCATTATTTTCTTTGGGGTATGAAGAGATTTCCAAATACTATTTTTAAATATCAATTCAGAAATCAGTAGGGAAACCAAGCATTTAAATGCAGCCCATTTTTACAAATATTCTCAGTATTAATGGAAATACAGATTTTTTTTTTCACAGCTAAACTCTATTTCTGGGAATGTCTAGTGAGTCCTGAAGAATGGACCCATGTTCCTTAGAGGAAAGTTTTTTCTGATGTTACAGTTAGTCTTGAGGATGACTCTGCACCTACTGAGATTGCAGTTGTTGCTCTTAATCATGCGTTGCAATTTCTAAGTCTATAATGTTATGAAGGCCACAAGTGTAACTATTTTTTCTCTTTCTCTAGGAAGACTGCTGCCTTTTCCATAGAAATGATGCTATTAAGAACTGTCCCACCGGGATCAGTGAGGTGTAACTGCTCTTGACCTGCCTTTTTTTTTTCTGCATTTCTCACCCCAGTTTCTTTCATACTGTGTCTTTTTGTTCAAGATTTTGTTGTTGTGAAAGCATGTAAGCCTGTTTAAAAGGTGGGGGAGAACCTACATTGATGTTAATGTGGTACTATATTACATTTACACAACTATTTTAAGGTTTTAAAGAATGCAAAGCAAAACCTGTCTCAGAAACTGCTATTCTATCTAAATTCCAAACCTCAATCTTTAGTGTTTTTTTTTCTTCTTTGTTTCTTTTTCTTCTTCCTGTGACAGTTGTTTTAAATGTATGAACCTTTCAAAGAGTGGTCTGTGCTTGTCGTAAAGGATTTCTGGTGGAACAGTTGTCCGTTTTATTGACATGTGGAAATTGTTAAATATCTTTTATTTAAAAAGAGATGTTGATAAATTACATGTATAATTACAATTTAATGATCTTTTGTATTTTATTTTTCAAAATAAATGCTTTAAATGTGATTATTTTTCCTTTCTTGGGTTGTTGCATTTGCCTTGAAGTTGAGATTTAAATAACTAATAATGCTGTGGAATTTCTCAGATGAAAGATGTAATCTAATGTCCTGCGTCTGAATCTCATTTTAAGCTCTGCTTAATTCTTTTCAGTAGCGGATGAAGGGACAGAAAGGATTTAAAGAACTGCGGGGAGAAGCAGTAACATGGGAACATGACTAGGATTTTTTTTTTCTTTTTCTCCTCGATTTGTTCCTCAAAATTGTGTCGGGACAGGTGAAGTGTGCGGAGAGGGGGGAGGTGGGGAGAATTAAACGGTATTTTCGGTGCTTTCAGGACTCCGTGCGCGGAGCGCTGGCGCCCTC